GAAGAGAACCCTACTGCATTGTTGGTGGGAGTGTAAACTTGTTCAACCACTTTGGAAAGTAGTATGGAGGCTCCTCAAAAGACTCCACATCGAGCTCCCCTATGACCCAGCAATCCCACTTTGGGCCATTTACCCGAATGATCCTGGTGTAATTTTGTCTTTTGCCATCCAGTGAGTTTGTTTGTAGATTTCTAGACACTAGAATTCTGGTTACCACAAATGAGGGAAAACATGCAGCCTATGTTTCTGGGTGTCTCACTTATTTCACTTAATGTAATTTTTCCAAGTCTTTCCATTTCCCTATGAATGGTATAATATCATTCTTTCTGATAGAAGACTAAAATTCCTGTCCTGGATTTTGAGAATGAGATGGCCAAGGCTGCCTTCTCCTCCTCCCTGGAGATGAGCTATGAACTGTCCGATAGTCAAGTCATCACTATTGCATTGAGCACTTTCACTGCCCTGAGATGCTCTTCCAGCCCTCCTTCATTGGCACGGAGTCGGCGGGCATCCATGAGACAACTTACAACAGCATCATGAAGTGTGACATTGACATCTACAAGGATCTATAGGCCAACAACGTGCTGTCTGAGGGCACCACCGTGTACCCTGGGATCGCTGACCACATGCATAAGATCACCGCTGGACCCCAGCACCATGAAGATCAAGATCATTGCTCCTCACCATCCCAGAGCGTAAATACTCCATATAGATTGGTGGCTCCATCCTGGCCTCTCTGTCCACCTTCCAACAGATGTGGATCAGTAAGCAGGAGTACAATGAGGTAGGCCTATTCATTGTCCACCTCAAATGCTTCTAAGGTGCTCTTTCTTAGTCTGTCTTCTGTCCAGGATGATGAATTAGCTTCAAGCCACCCCTCCCACATCTATTAATCATTGTACAGTTTGTTTACACACATGCAACTTGTTCATGCTTGTAATATTTATTACTTTATAAATAAACCAGAGCAGGACTTGCAACCTAAACAAATTTTTTTAAAGAGGACTAAAATCCACATTATCTATTCATCTACTGAGGGGCATATGGGTTGATTCCATATCTTGGCTATGGTAAACAATGCTGTAATGAACCTGTTCGTACTGGCACCTTTAGTGTGGCCTTGTTTGTGATCTATTAGATATCACACAGTGAGACTAAAGAAAGATATTCTTAGGAGAGGATCACAAAGGCTCAATAGCAATGAGCATATTATCATATAAAAGAGTATTTATGAAAATAAACTCCAAGAAATGGAAACAAGGGTTTTTTTCTTTGTTGCTGTTGTTGTTTTCTGTACCTTTTGTCTTACTTGTAAGTTTATCTGTTTTGGGAAAGGTAAGGAGGGGAGACAGAAAGTATGAACAAAGGGTGAACAAGTATAACAGTGTGATACTCACTAGACACTATGCTGAAAATGAATGACGTAACTTGCGAGTGGGGACGAGAGGGAAGAACTGGGTAGAGAGTGAAAGAATGGGTGACACTGCTCAAAAAGAAATGTACATATTACCTGCACTCATCCCTATACCTCATTAACTGTAACCCCTTTGTACATTATCATTACAATGACAATAGAAATATATATTAAAAAGAAAAACTAATAGCTGATGTTTTATTAACTACTAGAATTCATATAATTTTAAAAATAAATATATAAACTAGTTGGATCCATGAATTTTCTAAAATATTTTTACAATGCTACATGTACCTTCTCATAATTCCTTTCCTTAGGAATACCATCCTCTATTGCCTCTGCAGACAAAAGGAAAGAGGCTACCCAATTATACTTTGAAGAACTTACAGAAATTTCAATGAAGATCAAAATCTGGATTTTATTCTATTTAGAGATATTTAGGATCTGGGGAAATGATACCCTATATAACCACTGTCCTAAATATTCTTTACTTGAAGTCGCTATGGTCTACTTGTTAATTTGCTTGTTATGTAAGTCAAATTCTAGGTCCACCAATGGAGTCTTTTGCCCCCATATGCAGACCTAAAATTTCTTCCAGACTGCCATCTTCACATGTCAGGTTAGCCAAGTAGGTAAGATACAGGCTCTGGAATCAGCTATGTATGCATTAAATCTGAAATCAATCACATCCAAGCTAGATGACCTGAAGTGAGTTAGTTGGCCACTTTTAAAGTTCTTTCAGTTAGCAAAACAGAAAATTGTTATAGGTTAAGCATCCCTAATGAGAAAAGCTAATATGTCCTAAAATCTGAACTTTATTGTATCAACAATAAAAATCCCATATAATGAAACTTTATTTCATGTAACGATTTATTTAAAGTATTATTCAAAATTACCTTTAAAGTATTTTAATGATAGATGATACATAAAGGAAAATTTTGTTTACATTTGAGTCCCAGTCCCATGACAACTCATTATGAATAAGCAAATATTCCAAAATCAGAAAAACATCTGTAGTCTAAAACATCAGTAGTCTCATGTATTTTGCATAAAGGATACTCAACCTATAGAAGCTGCCTGAAAGGCTGTGGTAAGGATACAATGGCATAATGTCATATGCTTGGTACATAATCAGAATTTCAGAAATGATAGCTATTATCAGAAATAGAAAAACTAAGCCACTGGAGATACTCAGTTATTACTACACAGCAGTCAAACTTTAATGGCCAGGAATGTGATACCATGAGTTAGTTTGCTTGTTTTGTGGTTTTGTTTTTTGTTTTTTTGGTCAGTCATGGGGCCTGAACTCTGGGCCTGGGCGCTGTCCCTGAGCTCTTCAGATCAAGGCTAGCGCTCTACCACTTGAGCCATAGCACCATTTCCAGCTTTTTCTGCTTATGTGGTGCTGAGGAATCGAACCCAGGGCCTCAGGCATGCAAGGCTGGCACTCTACCACTGAGACACCTTTCCAGCACTGTGGTACCATGTGGTACCATCATGAATTACTGCATTTGTAAATAAATTAGATCCATTAACTTACTTTTGAGCTTTAAAGTAACTTACCTTTCCTATAATAAGTCACAAATCTAAAACCAGACTAATAATTACGACAGAATATCGCTTATTATGCAGGAACCCTTAGAAATTCAGATATCAGACAAAATGTAAAGAAAATAAATGTCCCAGCAATCAGGCATGTATGCATTTACTTATTTTTCCCAAGGCAAATCATAACTAAAAATGATTTGATTACTAGTCACGATTTTTAAAAAGTATTTTGTTGAAGGGTCAAATTCAAAATTTCATGTATGGGTTATTACAGAAAATACTGAGTTAGAAATGTTCCTGGCAACATTCAAATAGAAGTTATTTCTGTTTGGGTATTAATTTTGCAGCAGAATTTTAAGCCCTTAGTCAACACATTTAATATTTGGTACATAGCTAACTATGTAAAATCTGAGTTCTAAGACAGGAAGGTCCCTGATTCAGAGTGTTTTCCAATTTCCATGGTGTAGGATACTCTATGATGGCCAGCTTCAAATTCTGTTTCACTGCTTATTAGCTCTGGACAGTCAGTAGTATTCACAATGGTTAGATTTACTGGCTTAGGTTACAAGAAAACTATGAAACTAGCCTGTAAAATGTTTAAATATACAGAAATACTATACAGATATGGGATCTAGGATGGTAACTGAAGCAAATTTACAGAAAGCTAATTACATAGACATTATTCAGGATATTTCCCTCTTAAACACAATCTTCCCTCACAGAGAACAGATTTTCCGCTTGCACAAGCAGCTGCCAAGTCCCCGGCCTTGCATCACCTTCTCTTCTACTAACTACACTATCTCTTGGGACATTTCCTGGATCTCATGTGAGTATAGGGGCTCCCAAGTTCCCTCTGTACTATTTCATATTGTTTGTCTGTGAACCATAGCATATGCCTCTCATGTTTCTTCATTTCACAACTGGAGTCTCCCTTTTACCAGTAAACCCAACACTCCTCCAAGCCAGTAGCAGAAACAAGATTCTATGCAAAAGTACATTTTCAAACAGAAAAACTAAAGTTTTATGAGTATGATATGAAAAAACTTCAAGAAATACTATTTGACTGAAAAACTCTTGAGTTATCAAACTGAAGAATTTTTTAGTTTATAAATGAAAACAAACGTGAATTTCTCCATCAATTCAGAATGTTGTACTTGAAACCTTGATAGTAGTCCCAAATTAAGTTGATATGATATTCATCAATTCTATAATCGCTGTACAGATTATACTTAAAGAAACTTAGATATATCTGTGGCTAAAAACAGAAGGGATGGTAGGGTAAAAACAAAAGAGGAGACAACAATGCTTGATAAGAAATGTACTCATTACCTTGCTCATGTAACTGGAACCCCTGTGTTCAGTATTTTCACAATAAAAAACATTAAAAATAAAAATGAAAATAAAAATATGAATTTTGTGGTGAGATGGTGGTAATGTTACAGAGCACTATAAATGCACTTAATGTCATAAAACCATAGACTTAAAAGTGATTAAATTTGAAATGATGGAAGCTTTGGTTTCAATTAAAATTGTATTTAAGAATCCATTAGGGAGGGGCTGGGAAGGTGGCTCAGTGGTAGAGCACTTGCCTTGCATGCCTGAGGCCCTGGGTTCGATTCCTCAGCACCACATAAGCAAAAAGAAAAAAGCCGGAAGTGGCGCTGTGGCTCAAGTGCTAGAGAGCTAGCCTTGAGCTAAAGAGCTGAGGGACAGTGCCCAGGCCCTGAGTTCAGGCCCCACGACCCCCCGAAAAAGAAAACCATTAGGGAGAAATTCTGTCACTGTCCTCCACCATTTCAAAATAAAAAAGGAATAAACAGATTTCAAAAACTCAACATCCTTCGATGTGGCTCATGTCTCATCATGGACTTGAGACAAAAGCACACTGGGTACTGAGAAAAGCTGCATGTATTCTTCTAGACATTGACACTACATGTCCATTCCCATGGCTCATATTCATTAGTATAACTGACATTTGTGACTAACATGAAAAGGTTATGATAGCGTCAGAAAAACAGAGTCAAAATTCAAAACATACTGCATTCTTTGCCTCTCACTGGGTCAGGCAGGCCAGAGCAGTCCACTGCAGAATTCGGAATGGCAACTCTCCACCTGGAGCCTCTGCTATCACATTCAGTGTATTCAAAGTGGTAATCTTTCTGCAAACAATCACAAGAACAGACCTTTGTTAGAGCCCATTACAGTGGGAGACCTTGCCTTCTCAGTCACCTAGTGGGAGTGTTTGTAAACTGTACCCTCCCCTGGACTCTTATCCCTCACCCCCTCACCCACACCTAGCAGTTGACTGTTTAACAGTGCATCATATGGCTGGTCACCAGCGGCTCACAACTACAAACCTAGCTATTCCAGAATCAAGGTTTGAAGCCAGCCAGAGCAGAAAAGTCAGAGAGACTCTTATCTCCAATAAACAAGCAAAAAAGCAGTAGAGGTGGGGCTCAAGTGGTAGAGCACCAGCCTTGAGAAAAAGAGCCAAGGCTCTGAGTTCAAGTCCCAGTAGTACCCAAACAAACAAACAAACAAAAGTACTAAGTAGGCACCAATGATATGAGGGAAGACAGGACAGTCCACACTCTCCAGCTATCTCCATTAGTTCTGTCTACCCAAAGGCTACATTTGTTTTTTTCAAGCTTTCAGTCTATAAACAATTGACAGATACAAGAATAAGCAAAATAACACTAGGAAATCTTTTACTGTCACCAGCCCAAGTAGTTCCAAGAACTTAACAGCAAGTGGAATATTTAATTGTCCAAATACCAGAAAAAGACCACAAAAATCTGAAACAGCCTACTCTTAATTCAGACCCAACTCAGCAGGTTGCCATCAGTCATAGACCATATATTACAATTGCCAAAATAAGACCAACCCACTTGTTGTTGGCTGTTGATTCTTGGAAATTCTAACAATGACCTTCTGTAGTTAGAAGACATCGAACATGTTCAATGCTTGAACTGAGAGGAATCAGGAAAAAAAATATTACAGGAACATTTTAACAATGAGGGAAAACCCTGAAATATTTTCAGCTTAAACTTTAAATTTTCTTATTTTTTTCTCAGTATGGTGATGGAACTCAAGGCCTCATACTTGCTGGACAAGTGCTGTACTACTGAACTGCCCTCTTTATACCTGCCCTTGCCCTATTATATAATTCAATGATCTAAATGTTGCTGTTCTACTTTGTCCTCTTTCTTTAGCCTCTCTTTTTCTTAAGATAGGCAAGGATAGAAATATCAAGTTACACTGACATAGGAAAATTGGCAATGAGAAGACCACTGTACCTGACCTTTTTTCCACAGCACACCTTTCTCCCCATGAATTTGACATCTTTTTCAGTGTGTTATACTGAGAATTTTCCACATCATAAATTCTGTGTTCCTTTTTATTCACAGTTCTTTGGCTTATCTCTTTTCTCCCATTTTTGCTATAAGAAGCCATCAGTCCATGCCTTCAACCATTTGCTAGAAAGATCTGTTAAATATTCACATTCATTGCTGACATGTTTTGCTTTCCACATGGCCACAGACAGTTAAGCGTCCCGCCACTACACAAAATGCATAACATTTCTTCCAACTTTTTTTGGAAAGTGGCAGAAAATTTTATTACGAAAGGATAGACTGAAAGCAAGTCATTTATAAGAAAAGAATGACAATAATTTTGTTTTTATACAAATTCCTTTTTTTCCCTTACATTATTTATGCAGAGGGAGATTTCACACTTACATTTCCGCACCCATATATAATCTATTCCAGTCAATCTACCACTCTCCTTTACCTCTTCTGAGCCCTTACCAATATGTTTTTAATATTTCTAACTGCATTCTTCTCATGAAAATTTATATCTTCTTTAGCATAGGCATTTTCTACCATTGTCCTCCATTTTTCCTGAGCCCTCGTTTACAGTTATTTATATCCCTATTTCTATCAACAGTGTATTCAAGACAATAGAGGCTTATCTATTATGCATTTTAAAATTCTCCCACCTTCTGCCCAATTACCCAATTCTAAAGCCTTTTACCCACTTTCAAGTATTCGTTATAGCAGTATGTCACTTCCAGGTATCAAAATCTATAATCCTATGAAGGACATTCCCCACCCCCACCCCCACCTTTTCAGGGACCTGGCAGAAACAAAATACCAATAGTCATACAGGAATGAGTAAAAGGGCTTCAGTGGGAGAATGGGCCAGGTAGCAGGGAGAAGTAAGTCAAGTGCATGGAATAGGCCAGAAGGAATGGAAGCCAAGCTCACAAGTTGTTCCAGCTAACAAATTCAAACCATGATCCAAGGAAGAAACAGCAAGTCAACCCATAAGAAAGAACAGGCAATCATTAAAATACCAAGTAAACTCTATAAAAGCCTGTTTCCAAGTCCCTATCCTACAGCTTGTCTGCCTGTTGTTTTCCTTTGAAACCTCTTACTTTTCCTACATACTTGTATTGGTAAATTTCTAAAAAGTCTTTCTTTTCTCTTACTCACCCCACTCAGTGCCCAAAGTTCCAAAAATCTACAAGTTTCTAAGATAGCTGTAATAAAATATCACAAACAGCAGTTCTAGCCAATAAATTATTTTTTCACAGCTCCTTAGGTCAAAAGTTCAAAGGTCTGATCAGAGTGAGATAAATCAGCAGGACCAAACTGTCTCCCAGCTCTGTTGGGATACTTGGCTAAGAGGGAATTTTTTGACAGTAGTGCAGTTTGAATATTTCCTTCCCTCTACTTAGGCTCACTTGTTAATCTGGTGCCCTACCACTTGAGCCATGCCTTCAGCCTTGCTTTTTGCTGGTTTAACGAAAGATAAAAGTCTCACAGACTTTTCCTCTCAGGATGGCTCTGAACTGATGGTCTCCAGATCTTAGGCTCTTAAATATTTAGGATTACAAATGTAAGTTTCCAGCAGCAGGCTGCACTATAAAAGCTAACCACACTTAAAACCTCACATTGACAATCTGTTCTAGATAAATATACCTGAGATACAAAGGTATCTGGTAAAACTCATCCTTGAACTAAAAAGAGACTTTCTTGAAGGAGAAGAAATATCTGCTAGTGACTGGCTTCTGTCCTCAATAGATATCTTCTAACAGAAAGAAAACAAAAACAAAAACTGAGAGATCGTCAAACTTACATCACCTTATTCAATTGAAGAAATGCAATATTTGGATATCTCTATTGTATTAATTCCAGAACTTAAGACACAATGAGAGAAGGGTCAATAAAACTATAAAATTAGACATTATCAATAAAAAGTGACTATATTTCTTCTCAGTGAAGGAGGATCGATAATAAATTGTTTCTCTGATGACTTGGCCCACATGAGTGATGTTCCCAAAATCTAGAGATGCTTATCATGAATGATAAGATGACAAAAGTGTTTATTTTTTGCTAAATAAACTTTTCATCTAACTAGATTCATCCTCAAATTGTTTTTTATAAAGATGTTACAAACTGGTTCAGCATTGGAACCAAGAATACTACACCCCATGTTACAAGCCCAGCATCCTAGTGTGAAGTTCATAACTTCTGGGAAACTTCCTAGGTTTGAAGAGGTTCTGATTAGATAGACAGCAGAAGTTATTAAGGATGTCAGGGAGGAAGGAAATTACCTCTCTTAGTGATGCAGCTAAAAGCTTGATTGGCAGAGAGGAGGCCATAACTAAGTGAGATTTGTGTCTTACTTGAAGTTTCTTATTGGTCCTGTACAAGCTTTGATTGGTAGAATTACAATCTAAACAGATAATTTGCCACTCTTTTGGGGGTATGAGTGAGAGCTTTTTCTCCTATGCAGCATCCCCCAGTATTACATTAGGTGTAATAAAGGCTTTTCTTGAATAATCTCTGCCTAATTGTGGCTCTTTATCGTGGATAGAGCAAGCTAGGTAGATGTTGAATAAAGAGCAGATAAGATCCCAGGGCTTTTAGCCAAGGCAATAGTAGTAGTAATGAGAAGGCAGCTGAAGAATTCCACAGGCACTGGTTACTGAGGACCTTAGTGCCCAAAGCTCTGTGCTGTAACACCAAGAGACAGGCAGTTAGAGTCCCAGAGAGCCACTGAGAATGAAGGTAAGCAATCTGATACATAAAGCTCTGAAGTGTAACACCAGAAAATAACTGAAAAGTTCCAGAGAGCAATAGAGAGCAGACACTGCAAGAAACAAAGATGATACAGAAGAGCCAAAGACAAGAGCCAAGACTACATAGGCTACAGACCTGGTTGCTAGAAGAGTTTGAGAGAGCCACCAAGGAATAAACAGTTGAGAACAGCCAACTTAAAGTCCAGAGCCTTCATTCCCTAGAGCAATGGTCTCCAGATTTGCAAGCCTAGAGTCATAAAATTCTGCTTCTCTAGGGGTAGAGTCATAAGGTTCTGGATTTTAATGCCTTGACCATAATTTCTACCTGAATAGTGAAAACAAAATAAAAATTAAAAAAAACAGACAATCATTTGTAACAGAGTTTTTCCAAGTAATCTTCTCTTACGAAGCATTAGAGGAAAATCCATCCCTGGTCTCTTCCAGCTTCCTGTGGCAAGCAGCAATCACTGTCCTATAGTCATCTCATTTCCACCTTTGCCATTTGGCCATGTCACCTTCTCCTCTTATGATTGCATTTTGGGCCTACATGCAGGCCCTAAAGATTCTCATTGTTGAGATTTTCATCTTCCTTTTTGCCATATAAAACACTATTTATAAGTCCTAGGGGGTTATGATTTGGGTATCTTTTGTTTTCTGTTTGCTTTTCCTTTGAGGAAAAGTATTATTCAGCCTACTGAAATCTCTGTAGTAAAATATCTGAAAAGCCAGGCTTGGCATAATGGTTTCTTGTTTCTCTTGTTTCCAGTTATTTATATTTGGATGTCTCTCTTAGAATTCCCACTGAGAAGATCCTGAACTCCAAGTGTAAAATTTAAGTCATTTCTTATCATCCTAGCAAAATAAAGATGCTGTGAAATATGACATGAATTTGAAATGAAGCAAGCCCTCTGAATAAAATAGGAAATCTCTCCAAAGTGCTCCTCCACCACCAGCTCTGTGTAATTCAGGTGGCCAGTTATGAGAACAGCAATAGGAAAGTTACTGTATTTTCTGCCTGTAATGTTGAATGCCATATGACAATTAATTATCCTAAGAATCTCTTATCCTCAAGGT